GATACCTCAGTGAGGACTAGTATAACAGTACTATTCACAGTGTCTGTGATCCGCCAGCTATACCTCAGTGAGGACTAGTATAACAGTACTATTCACAGTGCCTGTGATCCGCCAGGGATACCTCAGTGAGGACTAATATAACAGTACTATTCAGTGTCTGTGATCCACCAGGGATACCTCAGTGAGAACTAATATAACAGTACTATTCACAGTGTCTGTGATCCGCCAGGGATGCCTGAGTGAGGACTAATATAACAGTACTATTCACAGTGTCTGTGATCCACCAGCGATACCTCAGTGAGGGCTAGTATAACAGTACTATTCACAGTGTCTGTGATCCGCCAGGGATACCTAAGTGAGGACTAGTATAACAGTACTATTCATAGTGTATGATCCGCCAGGGATACCTCAGTGAAGATTAGTATGACAGTACTATTCAGTGTCTGTGATCCGCCAGGGATACCTCAGTGGGGACTAGTACAACAGTACTATTCACAGTGTCTGTGATCCGCCAGGGATACCTCAGTGAGGACTAGTATAACAGTACTATTCAGTGTCTGTGATCCACCAGGGATACCTCAGTGAGGACTAGTATAACAGTACTATTCACAGTGTCTGTGGTTCTTAACTTGTGTTGCTGTCTGTTTTAACAGGAGTTGGCTAGTGTTTCGCAAAAGGATTTATTTTGAAGTTGGATTCTAGTTGTAGTTGGTTAAAATAATTACTGTACCCATTGAATTATGGCCCTATGGTGGGGTGTAATAATTTTGTCAGGTTTACAAACTGCATGTTTTTACGTGAATTTTCTATTATTGGTCCAAAGCATACCTTAAATGCATTATACACTAGGTTATATGACAAAAGCAGATCTGGTCAAATTGAAATTAGTTCCAGTTGTGAAATACATTTCAATAAATAGGAAAGAATGCTGAATATTGTTAAAAAAGCAATTTTATTTTATACACCATCTAAACATTCATATAAAAAGTATACAAACATAAGACTCTCAGAGATATGGTACAACAGTAAATACTGTTAATTTTTAAGTAATCTGTAGTATGCAATAGTAACATGTACAGGTACAGTGTACACAAATCAAAGTGGTCCCTTTGGCTATATATGCTTTGATAAATATGGAACTCATTGCAATCATTGGATGTTTCTAAGTTCTGATGATGATTTCTTCAAAACAGAACTTATAATTCTCGTGCTCAAACTCAAATCATATACTCAACCATGTGCACCTTTCTTGCATTTTGACTTGCAAAGGGTAAACATAAACACTATTCATTGGAATAGAACTTAGCTACAAGTTGTGGTTGTATCTTTTATTAATGTTTGAAATAAATAAATTTGTTGACCGTGTAACAAGGGAGATAATCCAAGATGGCGATCTCCCAGAATCGTCGATCTTTTCCTGAGAAAAACTTGAAATTTTCTATACCTGTGTATTTTACGCACCCCCCACTTTGAGTATTAAATTTCTGAAAAAAAGGGCATAGGTTTTTACGGTAATTAAATATGTATGCTGGAAAACTTTGTCATAAAATGTCAACCATAAGTCTGATCAGTCACAAATAATCATAAACAATTTAGTAAGTCTGACCAGTCACAAATAATCATAAACAATTCAGTAAGTCTGACCAGTCACAAATAATCATAAACAATTTAGTAAGTCTGACCTGTCAAAAACAATCATAAACAATTTAGTAAGTCTGACCAGTCAAAAACAATCATAAACAATTCAGTAAGTCTGACCAGTCACAAATAATCATAAACAATTTAGTAAGTCTGACCAGGTAAAAACAATCATAAACAATTTAGTAAGTCTGACCTGTCAAAAACAATCATAAACAATTAAGTAAGTCTGACCAGTCAAAAACAATCATAAACAATTCTTTCTTTTTTTATAACAAAGAACGATTTCCCAACCAGATCAAAAAATTGCAGGGTAATTATAATTAGGCCTACGTACTACATACATGTATAACACTTTTATCTATTTTCTCTATACTAAAATAATATATTGGAAAGTTATACATACACATGTACAATCCACAGATGTATTTAATAAACTTTCAGATCTACATTAAATATGCATCATACAAATGCATATTGAATTAGTAGGAATATTAATAATTAAATTTCTCCCCATTCGCTTAAATTTTTATACAAAATACAATAAAGGCAAGTTAAATTTAAATAAGTTGCCCAAGTTTTCATGAAATCTATAAAAAGCTAAATAGGCCTAATTATACAATTTAAATAATGATACTGTAACAGCACAACTTCTTATGACTTAAGACAACAAATGGGTGCACAACATGTTAATAAATACACATATTTAGGAGAAAATTCTTTTTTCCTTAAAAATGAATTGGTTTAAAGTTATCTGGCTTGACATGCAAGGCAATTAATTTAACTGTGAAACACTATTATATCAACACCACAACTGTATTTTACACAATCTGTACACCGTTTACTTTTTGTGCTCAATGGGGATCATCTTGTCCCGAGGCCCCTGCAGAGCAGGAAGGGGGGCTTCAATGGTCAGCATACCTTCAGTGCTCAATTTAGATATAAGATGTTCAGGATTGACTTCTCGAGGAATGACATACTGGCGACAATATTCCCGGTGAACATTTTTCCCTGAATCCTTTTCTTCGTGTTTAGCATGCACAGTGAGTTGGTTTCCATTAGTTTTCACATTTATTTCCTCTGGTTTGAATTGCCTGACATCAAACTGGAGATGAAATTTCCGAAAACCATCATTATCTTCCCTGACTGGATTGTCCATGCGAAAATTTTCTGACAGCCTCCAATCATCCACAGTTGATGGAACTGGAAATTGATTACGCATGCCTTGCATCATACGATTCATTTCGCTACCCATGCGTTTCATATCCTGGTTTATGCTGCTCATCTGGTTGCTATCTTCCATGTGATTCCATCTGCGGCTTGGATTTTCCAAAGGGAAGGTTCTCTCACTCAATCCAGAGGAGGTCCAAACTGGAGAAAAAGGCTCAACAGGGTAGCTAGGAGGAGGATGAGGTGGAAATCCTGAACTGGATGGTAACATGGAGTTCTGGAACATATACGGCCTGGACCAGTAGTCCGACTCCCATCGCACTGGTATATGTCTGACCATCGACATTCTCACTGTTCTTGATTACGTTAGACTCACAGCAAAAGTTTCAGCAACAAAAAGTTTCTTTGCAGTGTCCAGGAAAACTAATACAAAGTAGTGTTACAGTCTGTCAATGTAAGCGCCTTCCTATAGAAGTGTTACTTATAGCATCTGTCTATGATACTGATCTAGTGCAGCACAACAGCATTTATATAGCCATGCAAACTTCTGCCTGAATCTTCTAGAACTGCATCGAGTGGTAATAAACCGTGTCTTTTTCATGTAAACAGGGATGACATCAGTTAAAGGGAATTTAAACATCAGACATAAAGCTTCAGAAGTGAGCACTCATAGCCACAGGCCAGCAGTGTGTAAACATAGCAAGCACTCCTACCAGGCCAGGCACATACAACAATACTTCTGTTTTCTGTGGCAATGTATATCGCCATACACAAGTCACAATTGGTTGTAGGAACAATGTTATTAATTCATATATTCGGGTAATTACCATGGTAATTAATGTCAAAACTGACAAAAGTTTTCCAACATTCCATTATCTCACCAAAACGTTTCTAAAATTCAGTGTTATACGTACTGTATCTATGCCAAGGTCTTCATATCATAATTATCATAATGTAAATTGTATCAACTACTAATTAATTCCAACAACCAATTTTGAAATCATGAAATTTTTTGAAGAGAATACATGTACCACTATTTTCCATTGAAAATGGGGATTATTAGGAATGGGACTAAAATTTGGCCCACTTAAACATACCCCTCCAAAATCAAAAACCCTGTGCCCCCTTAATGAAGTTAATCAACTGGAGCAAACTATATTACACTCACTGGGGGGGATCCCAAATACTTGGTGTCTCATCATCCTTATATATATATATATATATATATACATGTATTAATATTAGTTTTTCAACCCCCGATTTTTATATTATAAAAAGCAAAAAATTAAATGCACAGGTACCAATTTTTTCTCATGTTACTTTCAGTAATTCCTAATGGAGGCTAGAGCTATTACTGAATATTATTTCCTTTTCTGGATTAAAATTTTACGAAAGCTATTATGCTGTTAGGTACTTTATATCAATATATATATATACACTTGTTACAAAGTTCCACATTTAACTTCATGAAATGTGTACTTGTCATCAAACAATGCTTTCCCCCTCTCATGAACCAGAAACATATTATTATATATAATGTGGCCTTGTAGCAGTGCAATGTGGGAGGTTTGATAATATCTGTCAGTCTCATCAGGATGTTTCTTGGGGGCCTTAACTTCGCCCAGCAACATCCCGACACCTGTAACGTCTTGGCGAGCAGTAAATGATAAATGATAATCTGTCCCTGCAGTCGTACACTCCACCTTGTAAACAGGTGAATAGCCCAGAAGAGACAGTCATCACGTGATAATCAAAAGCATGACAGTTCCTATAGCAGCTACATGTGTACATATGCTTTGGACCTTTATTTTATGTCTCTATCGAAAAACCGCAGGACAAATAACAACAAAGTAGTGAATAGTCACATGATGCGTAATGGCCGAGACCTTGCACTGAACCCACAGGGTACAGATGTTTCAGCACCCATAATTACTAAGTGTCAGTGCTGCATTGTGCCAAATGGTACCAGGTGTAGATTTTATGACAGCTACATGTAGTGCAAGTAAAAATTTCAATATTTACCTGGTACAATGAAAATATAGGTCGGGCTATATCTACAATACAATTCAAAATCTACCTGTGGGCTTGTACTTCTCTAAATCTCTAAATATTATTCATCCCCGATTACTTGAAAGAGATTTTAATTTCAGTGCATTGAAAAGGTGTTTAAGCAATTGGGAAAAATGTTAACAGGAAAATAAATCGCTACAATTCTACAGCTGTAATTGTTTTCACTGAATTAGGTTCAGTGAAGGAGTTAATTCACTTCTACTGTACCAAATTCAAATAGAGGTGATTTTAAGTTCTTTCAATTCATCCTGATACACTGTGTGTGTATTATGTTATGCTTTTAATTTCATTTGGTCCAGAGTGCCATAACATGTTTGCCATACCACATTAGACTAAATAAGGACTATTTTCGCACCACAGCAGAGCCATTAAGGTTGGTGATGAGGTTCCCTTATTCCAATCCAATTAGTGGAATATCATGCTGAAACATGAGGCCTGTTTTGTTCGATTACATGTACTTGCCTTACTGATAAATAGCACCATTTTGGTGATTTAGATTGTCTATCAGATATTATGAAATCAAGAATGGAACAATTAGGAATTTCACAATCAGCATACAGGTTACTTTTTAAAATTCCTGAAGTTGCACTCATCATAACTTGAGCAATCATATTAATCCATATAAAGTCAAGAGGTTGCAGAGAGAACATGCACTGTAATATAAGTGAGCATAACCCCTGGAGTGTCGATCGAGGATGGCTGAAGACGACAGCTGCAGCAATAAGGGCATCCAAAAGAGCCTTTTAGTAAACAGGTACCTCTTTACTCTTTTAGCAATTTCAAAACTTATGATTGGACACTTGCAATTGACATTATAAGTAACCCTTGAGGGTGTTATCACAGTTTTGCAGGTGCTGAGGTTGGGGTAGAAAAGGGATTGGTAACTGGTAGTTGTAATCTTACATGCAAATGTAGATACATAGATTCTGACAAAATTAGGATGTCAGCTCTGAAATAAAAAAAATAAAAAAACAGACTGAAAGGTTTGATGTTAAAAAGTTCAATTTTTTTTAAACAATATTTACGTGCTCGGTTTTGCCAGTATTCATCTTAATTTACATTCAACTTGTATCACTGTGCTTGAACTTACAACATTTGACAGAAGATTGTTCCATGCTACCATAGATCAACAAGTGTCTGTGTAAATGAAAATTCTCTAATAAATAATAATTAATCTTTAAATATAATTTGTAAATTTTAAAGTTGTGTCCACGTTTAGCTGAATTTAACCTTCCCTGATTTTAAAGATGGTTCCTGATATTTGTTTTGTGTTATTTGGTGCTTGGAGTGAATGAGCCAAAATTAAACACACAAATTTCACAATGCCAAAATATATGTTGCCGCATCATATGAAATTTCAGCAGACTGTGTACCTTCTAATTTATAAGGCACCAATTATTAAATTCCATGAGCTATATATTTTCGTGTTAAGTGAAACATGAAACTGGTTTTTGAGCAAGATTAGCACGTCACTTCATACATGAACATGTATAACAACACCTCAATAAAGGGGTTTCATCTTAAGTTGCCTTAATTATATATAACAGTAACTACTTTTCAATGTTTCTATTCCGTTGTGATTTAAGTTGTGTTCCATTGTATACGGAGGTAAGTCACCTCATCACAATCGATTGATAGCATTTAAAGGTAAGTACATGTATCACACTTAAGTATTCTTATACATGTGTTCTTTTGTGCAGCTGGGTGAGATGAAATGCAAAAAGGCTGAATACCAGTATACTGTACCATGTATGGAATCTGAAAACAACTGGTACCATACTGACATGTTTTTAGTCAAATACTTGCATAAAGGAAGGCTATAGATGATCGAGTCTTGTCACTTTGTTGCACACCTATTGTAACACAATGGACCGACTTTATAACTAAAGGCATCAGAAAGCATTAAAATTTTGCGCACAGGAGCATCAAGCGCCAAAATTTAACCACACCATTTTGAGTAAAAGAAATAGCCAACCGAAAGTATGGTACATAGATTGTTCAACTGAGCAAGACAGATTGTTTTCTATCTTTGATTGTGTTATTTAAATTGTGAAGCAGCATGTTATGGCTACCAAAAGCTTTAGAGAAATAACTCTGGCCTTTTCTTATTTGCCAGATGTTATTGACATGCATGAGTCCTACTGGTATTGACTGTCAGGAGATGGTGAACACAGTTTTCTACGATGTTGTTGATGATCTTGTAAAACCACAGACTTAGATGGCAGGGATTGGCAACACCACTCTCATTTTGCATATAGTTGCAATAATAATAATTTGAGGTTCTAGTTCGTAGGTCGTCTCAAAGGCGGTTCACAAATTATTATCCGTAGTTATAGGGCCTTTGCAACCAGCCAATATCTTTCTCAACTCCCTGAGAGCATACAGCTGGAGCTGCCATTTTGGTGCCAACAAACTAGCATTCAACAATTCTAGCGCTGCCCAACTACATAGTCATTTACAGCTGAGTAGACTGGAACAAGCGGAGTAAAGTATCTTGCTCAAAGATACAACACAGTGCTGTGCCATGACTCGAACACGCAACCCTAGAAGTTCGGTCACGAGCCCGGCATCCTATCACTAGACTACTGTGCCTCCTTGTCCACCTCTTGTATTGACACACCAAACTGTGACGGCCTGTGACCCTCTCGTCAATTTACCTGTACTGCACTTGTGTGCTATCTCACAGACCAGTTTCCGGTATAGATAATTACTTTGTTTACCAAGGTGACGAGAGACCGATAGTGTTGACACTGATTTGACCACGGACTTAAAAGCTTGGATAGCAATCTAATTCCGTAGATTAATACTTGACAGATTAGTAATAGTAACACAGTGTAATCATCATGGCTAAAACTTTAGAAAATGAAATCTAATTCTGTGGTAAAACATAATCAATCTGTAGTCCTGGCTGTAGTGGAGCATGTTCATGACACATTCAGGGTCTCTGTAATAGTAACCGCCAGAAATCTCTGAAATCTCTCCCAAAAATCAAGCTGTCGTATCTGTTGTGCCTGGTATTTATAAAGGTCACAAACATTACTTACTGGAAGACCCATACCAAGAACAGGTTTAACAAGTGTTGTACAAGCCTGTGCATTTACTTCCTGTTGGCACCTCTTTAGGTACACGAATCTGGGTTGTAATGGTAACTTGTCTTCATGCATGGATACAATACAATAAACTTTATTTAACGTTAGCTATTAAAAGCTATTATTCCGACAAACATTAGTAAAATGCATCAAATCAAACAATTACATATATAAAACATTATGAAACAGAGAAAGTGTTAAAACATAAGGCTCCATGCAAAGTTATAAGCTAAATATACATACATGCATACATATAGCATGACAGTAATTTTTACATAAAATACATACTAGTATAAAGCATTGAAGCAAAGCAAATACACATAAAAAACAGTTATTATGAAATACAATTTTCCACTATCAGCACTATATATAAAACACATTTACAACATGTAAAACAAACGATGAAAAAGTAAGTAAAAGAGGAAGGTGTGTAGCAGCTACAATGTATGAAGGTCTGAGCCGTGAGTGTCGGTAACCATTTTCGTTGATTGTGTTTAGAACTGTTGCACCAGGTCTTGCCTCACGAGGGATTGTAACAAACATATAAAAATATATATACCAAAACACAGAGCGTCATGTTATATCTTTGTGAATGTCGGGACCCAAATCGGATCAAGGCTTGAATTTTGCAGTATCTTACGCTTCAAATGAATATTTTTTTGTCAGCATATTAACGTTTTATGATGACCTTTAGAATTTATATGAAAAAAGTATTTCTATATTGTAAATTTATTCCTATAGTCCAAAACTGAATGCATTTTTTAAAAACTTAATCAAAACACTGACATTTGAGTTTGAATTAAGGTATTCTTGTGCTATTTGAACTTAAAAACTAATCATCTGTAGACAAAAAGTGGTGCATGGCTATCTATTCTAAGATAAAATCATTTTTATAACTGATTTGCTGACACATTTATTGATTTTTAAGTGTTTTTGCAAAAAGTGATCCGATTTGGGTACTGCCTCCTTATATAACCGGGTCCAGTACACTCTGCCAATTGAGCTATATAGCTGTTATAAAGACCTATATTAGCTCTATTTAACTATCTGAAATAGGTCTTCTGAGCTATTTTCAAGTGATTTTCTTTTAAAGGAAAACGAAACAAAGTCGCCTTTTAAAAGAAGATTGTATCAATGATGTTAAAAAAAAAAATGAAATTTTACATTTCAGGTTTTTGGTAATGTTGACTACAAAAGCAATACCTATATACCTATATATAGCTCAATCGACAGAGTGCACTGGATCTGATAGGCCTAACGTTATATTTATATTTGTTACAAACCCCTGTGACCAGAGTTGTTTGTTTATGAAATATTGACGGAACTATTGATTGGATGCTATATTCTGGCGACTATTGTGGAAGACTTTGCACGACTTTGCATAGGTGTTTGAAGTTCTGACTGTGAATTGAGATAAAAATCATATAAAAAAATAAGGGTATTACTATATAAAAAAAGAAAGTTCTTTTTTTATATAGTATTACGCTTATTTTTTTATATGATTTTTATCTCAATTCACAGTCAGAACTTCAAACACCTATGGACTTTGAAGGCCTGACTCAACATTAGCAGGTCTGCCAGGTTCATTTCCGAAATCGAAAGCTGAGCGTCCGTCTATTGTAGTGCCGGGGTCTGAAACACCTAATTTCGTTCAGAGCAAATAGATAAAAGGACGACAGAATAAAATCACTATAGTACATGTATACCAGATTAAAAAAATACATACCCCAAACGCCATTGGACGGAATACTGACTGCCTTCAAGTGGGGTAAAATGCAGACTTTAATTTGTGAAAAGGGATATTCCCATTTCCTCTCATGTCGCCATTTTGAATTACGAACACATCGTTATTTTGTGCTGTTCTTTATGTAAGATTAGAAAGGTTCGAATGGTGTGGATTCACCCCAAAAACCAATGACGTTTTTCTCATTCACAACTAAGCGAGGAAAGTCCCTAACCGGTATGGTATTGTTAATGGTAATCTTCTTGTCAGCTGTTAATAGCTTGGCCCGGACCATTTATATATCGTTACAAAAATATTTACGTGAACCAGAGACATCTCTGTGGGAATGTGTCTGATGAGCGAAGCTCTCCTATTCACATTACATACAACGTTATAGTAATTAATAGCACAGGCTTCCGTTTATGCGGAACAACCGGTTTGACCGTTTATAAATGTAAGAATTTCGGGTATAAATCTTGGCGGACCTGCAAATGTTTATTCAGGCCTTGCAAGGCTTTGTCAAGGCTCGCCTGAAAGCAGCATCAGATCACTACATTATGTGGAGGTCCTACCTTATTTAATAAACGAACAAATGTGGTCCGACCGGTTAGACCGTTAAAACTAAAACAGCCTAGGTCATCTGCAGGTGTTGGACAAACTAATGTGACTGATGAGGAGGCATTCTATAACCTCAATAAAACAATAGTATGTGTACGCCTCATGTTAGCGTGTCAAGCACCTGTGCGTTAGCTAGGCCTATAGATGATTTCATAACGCAATGAATACAGTTGACGTAGTGTGTTTGACTCCACTGACAAGCCAATGTCAATAGGTCTTATAATACAGTCATTTATAATAATCTTTTCAAAATAACACCTACACTGCAAGTATTCTTTTCTCTTAGTTGTACTTTATTGACAATGTTTCAATCCATCTACTCAATCTGCGATGTCATGTTGTTTTGACGCAAATCCTGTTTGCAATTACGACAGAGACATATAAAGCCAGTGTTATATATACGTCTCTGATTACGAATACGTTTCGCCATTAATCCTGTTTGTTCAGGTTTTTATGTATCATATATATATTAGGGTTATAAATATCATGTTAAATGTTGTCAGTGATTAAAAACTATTTCTTAGGAAGGGTTTGACAATTGTTTACCTTAAATTTTAAATCCGTTTAACAGGCCAGACGTATATAATTATATACATCTCTGCCTTGGCCAATGAAGATAATGTATAATTTTGCTGAAAATTAAGCTGTCTAGATTATTACCTGTTTTAAGGATAGTGGTGAGTTTTAATTTTGTTGAGTGATTTATTTTTGCAGGATTTTTTTTTTTTATAATTTGGCATATATTCTCATTTAGATTGCCAATATCAACAGTTTTTAGTTGGCCAACATCATCGATAAGATGAAGCATAAATATATACATGTATATAAATCTTAAAATTCTTATCCATGTGTCAATTTGAAGGCACTTCTAGAACCTGCATTACAAACACTTCCTGTCGGTATATGAAATGTAGCTAAGCAAGTAGTAATTCTCACACGCTTCTATATACATGTATCTACAATAACATACATGTATAGAAGGTAATTAATTTTCATTTAAAGCAACATGAATTTATTGTGACATTATCAAATAAATTATATCATTTTATAGTATTGTAATATACCCATATCAAACAGTGCAAACATTAAACTAATTTTGTGGTACAATACATGTACAAAAAAAAGTATCTATATTTGGCCCCTATATTATACTCCTATATACTGTAGCTTATATAATTATTATGTAACATAGCAGCCAAAATAAGAACAGCTTCACAAAGTTTAATACAGCTTGATGTAAAAAGCCGATCCTTATAACAGTACTGCTGAGATCTAAATTAACCTGTGTTAACAATAGAATAGATTGGTATTACCATATATATATGATGTATTCAATCTTGCATTGCAGATTCCTTGTTGACAGGTTGTGTGACAGAAAAAGTACAAATTATGAGCAGAACACTTTCTAGCCTGTTCTGTATACCAAGACTTGTTACCTTTTTGTCAAGGCCCCTTCACAGTGGAGGATTATCTCAAGTTTGTTCATGGCATGGTTATCGGGATTTAAACAGAAAATCGTTCCATTCAATGTGCTTTGATCGTCAGGGCACAGCTTGGCATGGGCTGGCAGGGAGCACTGGTGCGTTGTTATCTCCAGATAATTACACATTATCGTACTGTCAGAGGAGAGGGAAAGCAAAAGGAAAAGTAAAAGGCAAAAAAGATAAGAAAAGCAAACCAGACAAACAAGATGCAGATGGTAGGTAAACAATGCTATAAAAGTATTAGAGAGAAAAAGGAGAATGGAATTGCATGTGGACTCTTTTTAAGTTCTAGAAATGCCAACCTTCTGGCATTTTATTTTAATATGGCATGTATGGTGAAGGCCATATATTTTTACAAATGGCAAAAAAAACACATTGCTAATAGCTTGAATAATATTATAAACATCAAACGAAAATCTAGCCGCTCATGATTTGACTAGATCATTGTAGTTGAGATTTTATAGAATTCTTTGATTGTGATACAGCTAAAAGGTAAGGTTTTCATCAATAACTCAAGTAAACAGGTTTTTTGGTTTATTTTTGAAAGATACTACAAGCAGAATCCTCCATGTAAATTATAAGAATATGCAAGGATTGTTTTACTTTACATTTTAATTACAATAAGTAATGCTGTGTAATGGTCTGTTGTCATTTCTTATTTCTGTGCGATTATATATAATCCTCCTCCACCGAGCTTAAGTAATGTGTGTGTATAGGTAGAGGGGTGTTATTAGCTATTCTGTGACTTACAGATCCAGATTGTTGTCCTAACATTTTGTAGTGTTACTGTGTACTGCTGATTACATAGCAATTCCTTCTTTCTCTTACCCTGGACAGGTGTATCCGCACTTTTACCGGTGTGAGATATCCTTGTCTCCCCCTAGGGTTGAGACGGGGGGGTTTCCCTATTCATAACAATGGTATGACGTCACTTCAACAATACAATGACGTCATGTCAACAATCCATCAACGTCACGTCAACCCTGAATTTAGCATGTAGCGTTAACACTACATTGTGTATACAATACACAATGGGAGAACAGAGTAAGAGAAAAAGAACCATTCACCCCATTGTGAGTGAGATAGGGGAATCTCAACCTTCGAGGAAAGACTCTTAAGTTGCCAAACACTCGGCAAATAGCCTCATGTTTGGCAACTTAAGAATCTCCCCCCTCGGGTTGGGATTCCCTCATCTCAACCCCAAGGGGGTGAGAGATTCTATTAATCTTACAACCCCCTCCACATGAATGTTGTCACAATTGGACAATCATAACGTGACAACATGAAATCAGGAACATTTCAATTCTGCAAAATGTAGAAATTGACACATTTTGAGGTTTCTGACGTAATTCTTATTATTGGAATGAATATTTTTTTATGTCCAGGGTTGCAAGATAGGGAAATTTCACCCGTAGTATTTTGAAATGGGTGCTGAACCCTCAGCAAAAAGCCTGGGGTTTCACCCAGTTTGAGAACCCATGGGTTGGAATTTTCCTATCCTACACCCATTGACATGAAAAAGTCTTATAATGATGTATAATGTAGTTGATCTATGTATAGGTATATCACCCCTAATTTAGAGGTCTATACTTACTGTTTTCAGATGATGAGGATGCTGATCCCCTGAAGAAATATAAGGACCAGCTAGAGTGGCAGTATGAACATCTTAAGGAACAATATATTTCTCAGCTGGGACTACGTACTAGTCTCAGTAAGTCATCACACAGCTGAGACCTTGTATGGGCGGATTGGTAGCATGTTTAAAATCCCGGCCTTCCATGCAGGCGGCCGGGGGTTAGATCCCGTAAGTCGTCGTATGCATGGATATTCAGAGAAAGTGTTTTTCTCCTGCCCACACAACTCCAACATTCCAGCTGGAGTATAAAATGGTCTGGGTTGGATGTTGCTGTACCTGTGCTGTAGCATTCAAGTGAGGTGGCACCATAAATCATGCTGTTGGAAGCATGGTCCCACTATAAACAGAACACATAACATCTCCAGCACACACATAGGCATACCCACATAGGGAGATGTTAACCAGGTGGCATTGGACTAGTAGTTAGAGTGTGATAAGGCAGCTCCTACGAATTCCTCAAAATTGTATTGATTAATGTATATGCTAATTGTATTAATTGTACATCTATGTATACTGTAAAGCGCTTTAGAGTGTCTTATGTTAGCTAGATAGGGCGCTATATCAAATGTTGTATATTATCATTAATTAGGTTACACAATTGGAACGTAGTACTAATCTCAATCAGAACAGTAACTCCCACAGCTGGGACCCTGTACTAAACTGAACAAGAGGCCCAATGGGCCTGCATTGCTCACCTGGTTTTAATCTCACACTTGTAATCTTAAAAGTGGACTAAAATACAGCTACAGGCAGAATATCAGTGTTTGATTCATAAGAACCAATTAAAAGATTAAAACATATGACGCCTGTGACCTTGAATGTCGAACAAGGACATTAGGTTGAAAGTGGGTCAAGGTCATTCATTTGAACAAACTTGGTAGTCCTTCATCCCAGCATGCTACAGGCCCAATATCAGTACCCTGGGCCTTTTGGTTATTAGCTCACCTGGCACGAAGTGCCAAGTGAGCTTATGCCGTGGTGCGGCGTCCGGCGTCCGTCCGGCGTCAATATTTTACTTTAAACGACTTCTTCTTAATATTCGAAAGGCCTAGGGTGATGATATTTGGCCAGAAGCAAACTGGGATGAAGGGCTACCAAGTTTGTTCAAATAAGTGACCTTCATCTATTTTCAAGGTCACAGGGGTCAAATATGTTAAACACTTTAAACAACTTCTTCTCGATAACCAAACTGCCCAGGGAGATGATATTTGGTCAGTAGCATGCTAGGGTAAAGGGCTACCAAGTTTGTTCAAATGAATGACCTTCAATTATATTCAAGGTCACAGGGGTCAATTGTCTTAAAAAACCTTTAAATAACTTCTTCTGAATAACCAAAATGCCCAGGGTGATGATATTTGGCCAGTAGC